GTAATATCCCAAGTATGCGTTAACTCATCTTGTGTCAGAGAACTGCCTGGTTATCACATACCTAAGTTCTGCGTGTTGTACTGGGATTCTCACTTTGGCTAGAAACAGTGGTTTCGTTTTACTGATGGAATTTACGTTTCGAATCCCGCTTCAAATCCATTTGCTACTCATTTCTGTAGCTTGTCCTTTTCTCGAATTAGCATGCTTTTCTTTGTTCGTGGTCGCTCTTGCCTTGATAGAAATTTCGTGCATGTAATGCTCACAGTAACTTTTTTCATCTAGTGAGTCTTTGTGACACTTCCTTCGTTATTTTATGTACAAATATGGATATATAGAGATAAATGAGTTATTGAGGTCTGTATTGAAATATTATATCCTCCCAAACAACGAAGAAGAACGATATAGGTAGTACAGAATCTGACTGGATAAAACACCCGCTAGAAGGCAGCTGACTGGAATATTGTGTTTTCCGGCAAGTTTCCGCCGATTTTTTAGTCATCATTGCATGAAAATTTCTAGAGGAGCAGGTCCATTCATCAAGCGATATATCCTCCATTCTGTTCAGTAATGGTTCGATATCCTCCACTAAGTTTCGTTATCTCACTTCCATGGGAGGTTCCAAAGTTAGAATCAAAAACCGTCTCATGTGCTTTTTGCAGTTCTCCAGCGGATTGGAGGATTTCCATTCAGGAATTCTGCAGAAACCTAAACAAGGGGCAGTTCAGTGGTGCTATGTCTAGACTATAGAGAGAGTGTGGTAAGACATCCTACCCAAGATCCAACAACTTTTGTCGAGTGGCCGGTATTCGCACACGAAGGCGCGGCCCATCACATCGGGCTCGCTCAATTCGTGGGGTATCCGAACATCAAGGGACTTAATAAAGCCAAGTCCCAGCAAATAGTCTTGGATGGTTAAATCCAAAGCACTATGTCTTTCAGTCATTTTACGAGTAGTGAGTGATGTGCCGAATCGTGTCGATTAACATGCCTCTCTGAGCGTTGCCAACCTTCGAGAGCAATTTCACCTTGTTCAAATCGCAAACCACTCACCCACTGTACATTCCAATAGGATGTTGTCTACTCAAACGACAGAAATCTTTCTCGCGCTTGAGCCGCGCTCTTGTGCCTGCTGTAGAAGAGAAGCATCAGGTGCCGAAATTACAAGCGACGGACCACAATTTTCACACGAGCCCTATACAGACTAGACACCAGACTTTGTGGAATACTATCAGTTCTCATGCAGGGATAAAGGGGAAGTCCTACCCTCACAAAAGACATATAACTTCACAAGGTTAGGTCCTTCATCCCTGTACAACAGTCGATAAACACAGGGTGTTCGAAAAAGGCGGAAACGTTTCGAACAACCCAATAGATTTGGTTAAAGAAATGAAACTTGGAATGAATTTTGGCACTGTAAAGAGGTTACTAGCCTTCTCACTCGATGTATTGTCTCCCGCCCTCCAATTTCGGTCCAAAACCTTGATAATTATTATTCCTTAATCGGAATAGGTTTTTATTTTTATTCTCATCAAATTCCAAGACCTCTCATCTTGAAACCTCGGCATTTCTGTTGCTCTTGTAATTGTTAATTTGCTTCTGCCTTAAGGTTGGTAGGTGAAATTTTTATTTTTATTTCTCGCTGCTAATGTACTAAAAGTGTAGCGTAGCGCTACACTTCGCGGTGGAAGTGAGGCCTTGAAAAAGACGAGTCCGTCGGAACGTTGGTCAGAATAAATATTTTTATTTTTCGAATATTTCTGAAGTGAAGGTATGGTATGGCGGTCAGCGAACAAATGGAGTTATAATATGGGATGTGTGACGGTCGTAGTAATGTAAACGGTGAATCATGAATCGAGTGCTGCAAAAAAGTGCTGCTAATCCGAGATTATGACTACCGACGAGGGTTAGGGGTGAAATGATCGCGAGTTCAGCTGGCGTAGGTGGAGTTATATTGATTGATCCGAATTGAATCCAGAAGATTCGGATCCTGAGGATCCGAATCTTCTGGATTTCACAGCGTCACAGGGAGAATGTGAAGGAAATTCATTGTTTTAAGGAGCTCATCTCCTGCTCGTATCCTGGCTCCTATGTGGAACTCGGAGCCACTGTACACTCAGTGGAAAGCATAGAAGTTCTGGCATTGGCCACGCGAAGAACAAACAATTTTTTTGTTTGAAATTCGAGAGATGATCGGGATTTGAGTAGGGTGACTAATCACAGTAGCCCGTCGTTACTTGGGAGTGATAAAAAGTTTTCGGGGCAGATATTGACCTTTCATTTACTCCTTGTAAAAAGTTATTCAAGAGGGAGTTAATGAAAGGTACACATATGTCTTGAGCTTCGTTTCGAAAACAGTGAGTCTATGTTCAAGTTCAAATCGAGGTGAAGAGCCACTCGTGACATTCTTGCAATTCTTGCAAAGAGCTACTTGAGAACCCATTTTCACCCCGCGAAGCATATTCGATAATTTTATGCGATTTAGAGGTTTTACTGGATAGCGGAGTGATCACGAACCCAACCAAAGTAAAAGCCCATGCCTGATGATTTATTGAGAGAATAGAATAGAGAGTTAGGATAGAATAGCGGCGAAACTCTTTGCGAACAAACTTCAAGAGGAATGGGTTTGGTCGTGATGAGGGCTGAGTAGTACTGAGCGAAAGCACAGGCTCAGCAGCGCTTGAGCTCAAATAGTCTAACAGAAACGATTTCATTACCAAGGTCCTCGTCAGAGCTAACTTGGTGGCGTCACATTCCCTTTACGCCAATCTTCACCACCCTTACCCCACGCAAATTCTAGAACTGGATTCAGGGCTTCCTTAGGTGATGGTGACCCATTTGATTTATTTTTGCCAGTTCCGAAATCGTTTTTATGCCGTAATACAAAGTTCAAATCAACCCCCGTACTTGCTGAAACTAACATCTGGTAGAACTGCGGTCAAGGGGAAGTAAGAAGCTGTAGGAAAAGAATTACAAAAACCTGAAAAATGGCTCAAAATGTAGCGAGTAGACAGATAACTGGTAATCCCTGACCGAAGTTTGGTAGCGATGATTTTTCGCGCTTACCTTAGCACTCTCAAGACGCCTTCATTTTAGCAACACAGAGAGTTCGCATTCATTTTTTGGTATGCTTTTGAACATTTCGGATGGATGCCTGATGCATGAGATATTTCAAAATTCCAAAAGGTTCAGGGGCCTCGTGAGACTTTTCTGTGATTCCCTTCAATGATAAAGATTCGATGAGTGTTGGTTGGCACAAAGGACACATACATACCGTACACTTTTTGGTGGGTTTCGGATCGGGAACCGTAACCTCGTGGAGAAAAGATCTGGATCTCCTGTGCACGAGAGAGGATCCCAGTTCGATTCTACTAATGTCCCTAACTACGCCCTTCCTGCTTAATTCTCCTTTGCCCCCTTTCTTACAGTGAGGAGCATGTTTTTTCTTTTCAACTTTGGGCTTCATCTGCAGCCTTCTTTATTTCTTCTTTTTGATCTTTTCCGCATCGTTGAGACCATTCAAACAGCATGCACCACCTGCAAGCTTTTCTTTGGGTGATCGCTGTCCGCTGACTGTCCCTTAAGTCGACTTTTTCGTCCGCAGCTGACTGACGGAGACCAGAAGGCTGCACGTGTTTTCACTTATTGGCGTCGCAAGAGATTTCAAAAACACAGACATGCTGTAATAAAATATATGAAATTGACAATATTTCTGATCTTCTTAAGCGATCTTACCCTTTTTTGAGGTTTTTTGGCTAACAAATATCTAATTCACCACCCTTTGATTAAGTCGTGAATGACCTGCTCAGTGATGATGATCTATAGTCTATATCCGTTCCCGTCAGTCATGGCTCACCTGCCAACCCTCCCACAACGACCGTCGTCATCCCTCTCTTTCCCTCTTCTCTCTCTCCCTCTCTCGCCCTTCTCCCCAAGGATCACCCAGCCTGCGCACTCGCGCCACAGCCGGTCGTTCTGTTCCATTCGTCGCCGCCACAACCGCAATGACCCAACCATCGCGAGGGCTACGATTTCTACTTTTGCTGATCGTCGCTTCTGCAGGTTCGACATCCTTTCTTTATCGTTCTTCCATTTTAATTATTAGTTCGATGATTTCGTGTTCGAGTCGAATAGGCTAATGGGCACGAACAGGTGGAAAACCTGGCCTAGATCGAATTTCCGACCGGTTTTCGTCATTTCTTAGCGCTTGCTACGTAACTTGTATTGATTCATCCATATGACTATCATGGCTACTGCTAGCTTCTCAGTGTTAGGGAATGATAGAGCTATCATTTCGAGGAGACGGCCATGAATAGAAAACCACGATCACGAGTTGGAGCTTCAACCTGGAGTTCTTAATACAACAAGTGATTTTCTTTTGATTGGCTGCCCTTAGTCAANCGCTTGCTACGTAACTTGTATTGATTCATCCATATGACTATCATGACTACTGCTAGATTCTCAGTGTTAGGGAATGATAGAGCTATCATTTCGAGGAGACGGCCGTAAATAGAAAACCACGATCACGAGTTGGAGCTTCAACCTGGAGCTCTTAATACAACAAAAGATTTTCTTTTGATTGGCTGCCCTTAGTCAACTTTTCTACAGTACTCTACAGATAGAGAACTTTTTTTGGTAGCAACAAACTGAGCTCAATGACATTGGCTCTACCTTAAAACTTGAGATCATTAGAAAAAAGTTTTGTAACCCACATTCTCTGTTCCCAAGAAAGATCCTTAGTAATGGAAAGTGGTAATCACAGTTTTTGAAATCGTGGAACAGCTTAATTATGAAGAGTAGATGTGAATAAGAGACTTGTAGGTTAAAATGTAATAAGCAGGATAAGGCTTATGCTTAGGAACTTGCGATCCAATGTTTATCCTCTTCAGAGGCGGCTTTCTTCTGCATGGGATTCCAAGAAATTATTTCCCTTAAGCGCATAGGAGCATTGATTCAGTCTATTTTTTCATTGCTCGCACAAATTTTCATGAAATTAAAAATCAGGGCGTCATTCCCTGGCTGACTTCTTCACAGCTCCGAAAAGTCGGTCACATGTATTTACAACGTTAGGTGTACGGGGCCAAGTGATCGATTGATTTCATCAGTTCAAAGGGGCTGGTTGGGACCGATAGAGAAAGCATTTACTGGTTTATTTACTTACTTAATTGCCTGTTTGTTAGAGTACCCAGACAACAGAATTAGACAATCCCCTGGTCTTGGGCAACTGGATTAGTTGGATGAATTCTGACCAGAATAAGCTGATATCAAACGAATAGGTTTTGTTTTTGTATATCATTTCTTTTTGGACGCGGGTCGCATGAAAGCTACCGGTTAAGCATTTTCATTTGGTAAAGATCGATTTTCAAGGGTTCATCAGGATAATGCTTCAATTTTTTATGAACAATTGCAGAAACGTGATCTTATCACTCGCTCGAATTTTGGTTTCAAAAAAACTGAGCCACCCCTTTTTTATATTATTTTTGTTAACTTTCTTCTCTTTCGCTTATATGAATCCCTGATTAATCCTTCAATTCTTGAAAATCTGTATAGTATTACGAAATCGGAATTTTCCTATTCGAAGTTGGGTAGGGGAAAGAAGATGAGAGGCTTTCACTGTGGCCATCCCAGAAGGGTGCTTCAACAACTGCTCCTTGTCCGTCTATTGTCCCAAGTGAAATATGATTTTAGAAACCCTGTTTCTCCTGAATGGATAAGCCCCTTGAGATCTTCCTTCTCTGATGTATTAGTTAGCTTCCTTTCAAAGAAACTTTTACTTTCCTCAATTTTTCATATTTTTGTTCTTCGGAGTTCTGAAAAGTGCAATCCATCATCTCCGCTTTCATCAGTCTGCAAATTTAGTCTATAAAAAACGAGATTCGTTGAGTGTGATAACGCTTTTCCCTTTGTCTACGGAAGTCCCAGACGAAACTGGGTCGGCCATTTATTGGTTGGGGATTTAACCGGGAATCGGTGTGTGGAGAGTAAAATGAACTTGAGTTGTTATGGTCGCTGCCCCCAGACGGGTATGGTGTAGGTGTATCGGTCGTACCTCTTCGGTGGCAACACTGATTAAATAGGCATATAACAAAGGTGAGAAGGTTCTCTCCACCACCATTATGTAGCAGTTGCCAGTATGAGGTATGCTCTGTCGTCCAAAGTTCATTTTTTCCCCATTTACCAAGTTTTTTTTTCGAATTTTCTCGCACTGAAGCTATTTATTTCCTTGAGAAATGCTATGTTTTCTTACCCACTCTTTGTGGGTGATTATACTGAGCAGCACACATTGGTCAATAATTAATCGTACACATTTCTGATCGTTCTGTGTCTAAAAATAGTAGCAGTGACCCATTGAAAAGGCCGAATTGTAATGGGTTCATTGACCCTGATACAAAGGCTCGTGTCCTCGTCCAGCCCTTTGAGCCTTGATGTATAGAAATAGAAATTCATTTATGCTCGTCCAGAATTAATTCATTTGTTTACTTAATTCTCCATTTATTTGGTAGAGCATAGAATGTAAGGTAAAATTCTGACTCCTTCATCAATATTTGACTTTTGTTTAATGCTAAGCCGGTTTCATCTGTGTAGTAGTTGACGAAATGCAGCTGCAGGTGCTAAACTCGTGTTAGTACGAAGTAGTAATACAAGTTTTTCGGCATAATTAAATAAAACCACGATGACTGTCACTCTTACGAAGTCATTAATTGTCCGAACAATCAGCTTTTTGTCTGACTCATTGGGAATGCCGCTGATTTTCGCGCTGCTAGTCATCAGCTGTGAGTCTCTGAGCCAGTCGATGGCGTCATCCACGACCGTGTGGTCATACCGGTTCCGTGCAAAACAAAAATTTGCATACAGGATGTTTGCTCATGCATGACCTATTGAACGGAGGTCATAGGAAAAGTCAGTTATATTACTTTCGTAGGCATTGCTTACATCGTGAATGTGAAGACCGTATCGAGAAGAAGTTATTCCCAATGCTGTTTACAGAGCCAAATGAAAAAGTAATGAGCAAGAAAAGTATAGCTATCAAATCTTAGAGGGCTTTTGCCTAAGATTTCACGATCGGATGGTTTTTGGGACCAATTGTAAACCTCTAGGACACCAGGGAGGGGTTGGAGTTTTACAAATCGTCTGGGATATGCTATGCACTTTGACCTCAATGCGCCATTGTGATATCATTAAAAATAGAACGGGGATCCGTTGATGGTCAGCTTTTACGAGCTTACGAACTGTCAACTGATGTTCTATTGACATTTCTTTTGGATCTGCGTGATTCATATGTCGGCTATGTCAAGATATGGCTGCTATTTTCGCACGACAGCCGAACGACAGATCATCTGGAGGAAAATTTCAATATCATGGACCTCCTTATTCGGGACTATTTGCGGAATGGATCGATAAGAATGGGGTCAAACAGGGATAGTCCTTCACGGGCGGAACAGCATAATTCGATGTTTGAACAGATCCCCTGAATGAATTCCTGAGTCATTGAGGCGACTTCGAAGTTAGGCATTACCCTGAGCCTTCGGAACAGTAAACTTGTCTGCTCGTTTACATAAGGTCTATTTCTTTGTTACTACAGGTGTTCTCCTTTTTTTGCATTTACTGCTACAAACTTATTTTGATTTCTTTTTACTCTTAATTTGCTATCTTTTCTGGTCTGCCTTCTCCGCATATACTTTTGTTTTATGGGATTCAATTTATCAAGGATGGAATCTGTTTTTGGAATCGCTTGCGTCATAGAAAGTGTTACTCCTTTTCGTAACCGGCTTTTTGGCCAACGAAGGTCGACGCCTTAACATCCTTTGTCCTCCGTGCGAAGTTTCTCCCTCCTACTGTGATGCTTCACAAATGCGTTACCCTCTCCACTCTCACTCCACCACCAGTTTGTGTTGAGGTTGAAAATAGTTCTGTGAATGACAAACGAGTGTTATTTACGGGTTTAGGGGAGAGTATGGAAGGGGGGGGGGGGGGGGGGNGGGGGGGGAGGGTGTTAAGTTGGAGATGCTAAAAATAAATCAGCGATACTGAGTGTCGTTCCGTCTTGCAATTACGGAATTCTTCTTAATATGAGAGAGCTTCTAATAATATAAAGACTATACTGGTGAAAGCAGTTTTTCATTCGACTGGAAAGAGCATCATCCGAAGGATTGTTCGATTCTCGAAAATTGAATATTTCGGAGCGCTGTATCCTTAATGCACTTGCTCTGCCACGAATCTTCAGATTCATGGTTATCTTGACACATTTGTTGGCTATTACCACGAAGATAATCTAGTTTATTCTAATTTTTCCTTTCATGTTCCCTTATTTTCAGCAGAGCAACGCATCTAAGCGTTTAACGGTACCTCATTCAGCTTCGGCAGCCACTTTACCATGCTTGGATGACTGTATCTGTGAAAGGGATGAAGAAAGTCCCTTGATTCGATGTGAGAATGGAGACCGGCAAAGTCTTGAGATCCCAAGTAACGCAATGAGTGGCTACCAGTATATTGGTAAGTTCCGCCAAGTTTTTTTTTTCCAAAGCATCGCCTTGTTTGTCACAGGTGTCCCAGAAGGGGATTTCGGGGGCATTTCGTTATGATATCAGTCGTTTTGCGATAGTTGTGGATGTAATGAGCAGTAAGCAACTATGACAGCTTTGATAGTGCTGCTTTCCTGAGCTAGGCATTCGCCTTTCTCTTCGCAAGAAGTAATTGAAATAGGTAGTATGCTAGCAACAAGTATTTAGAATAACATTCGGAACTTGCTTGAAATAACTTCACATATTCCACGAAAGGAACCTATGAGTGGCGGGAAACCATTTAAACATAGAACACGAATGCATGGCTCATGCTAAAAACAGATTGAACAGCGACCTGGTCTTTGACATTTTATGCGATTCACGTTCAACGGTTCCCTTCGATTTCTGTTCCATATAAAAGCAGATTAAGTCGGTGTAGATCGATTCAACGCAAAAATATTCGGCGTTGCTCCCCTCTTTTCTGCGCCATTCCATTCCACTATCACTTAGAGATCGGTTTCGGGTTGATAGGTTCCAGACTCGTGTGAGAGAATAAAAGCACTGGCTTGTACACCGCGGGCCACCACAACTCACTGTACAGGCCACACGTCTACGCATTCCTATACGCCGCTACGCTTCTGAATGGAACTCCATTTGGGAGGCGCAAGGGGATTGATTAATGGCGAAACTCTGATCATTAACGTTAACCTGGCCTATTCCCAGGCTTTTGAAGAGCAGCCCCTCCAGGTTTTAAATATTTGCAAGGTTTGATCCGATGTTTGGAGGACAATGCTCGTAGTGGCTTCTTTTCTCGTTGTGGTTGGTGGTAAAGAAAAACAATATGAAAAGAAAAACCATGTGAGAATCAGTTAGAGTGATAGTGAAAATTGCAAAGCAAACCTTTGACGAAAGCGAAAAACAAGTTCTTATTTTACTCTATTAAATTTTGAATAAAATTTTCCTAATTTTATTTTTACACTCATCGCGTGAGTAATCAGAAGTTGATCTTGTAATTGTCCTTGCACGAAGGAATCAATGCTACTACACGAATCCATGATTATACTATGATCTTTCCAATCGACTAATTTTTCAGCTTTCACTTGCAATGATCTACGGCAGCTCCCGCCAGCTGCACTCCTCAAGGCAGCCTTTCCAGACATTCAGGTTAGTGGGACCTACTTTAGCTCAATCATCTACATAGGGTCTGCCTTAAGTTTTTAGAGGTATCGGAAACTATCATATTCAACCTTGTCTTCCATTTTATTGAAGTAAAGGACAAAACTTGACCGATTCCATGAAACGTACTGGTCTGTCATGAAGCTGAAAACAGAGGCACTCGAAGTGTTCCCGTCTTATACTTTAAATTTCTTTCGAAAGTCAGAATTTCCCAGTATACATAGGCTAGGTAAGGGCAAGCAGTTCGAGGGAAAACGTCATGGAATTCTTGTTTCAGGGCATTGACATCCAAGGAAATCCTCTCTTCAATTGTTCAAGTTTGGCCAACATACGTGAAGAGATTGCTATACTTACTGATTGTGACGCTGACACAAAACCGATCCAGTGCGATGTTATCGATAAGGTTGATTGTTAATTTTTTATTATTACCTTTTTGTGAGTAGATATCCGTGATCTTTGTTCAGGATTGTGACTGGAAATGCAAGACGTTGAAAAAGCTCCGTGAACTGTGGAATAAAGTCAAGGCTACTTTCGTGAAGAAGATGAAAGACTGGGGAGCGGAAGAGGTGACCTATTTTTGTAAATTCCTTTTAACGCCTACTATTACTAGTCCTATATTATTTTATTCCATCCCTGGACGTATGCATCTCTGAAGCATCAACCTCCTGCTTTTTGGCCCAACAAATTCAAGTAGTCTCGTAACCTCTTATCCGAGCTCCCAAGAGTTAAGGGATTGTGCTCTCGATCATTCATATTCTAAAGCTATTCAGAAGATTTATGCTCCCTGTGGAATTTAGAGTTTCATTAAAACTAAAAATTCTTTCCGAGATCGGAGAGTGGAGGGGGATAGGGGGTTGGCAGTGACTCTACTATTGTAGCACAGACATATGCATGCTATAAAAATAAGTTTTCAAAAACTGTCAAAACTCTGCTAGAGTTCGATTGAAAGATGGGAGGTTATAACGAGAAAAAGGATCAGTTCGAATTACTTCATCCGACCGCTTTCCAGTTCGTACTTTATCCGACGGCTTTCCAGTTATTTGATTTATGCGGAATGCACATTCAAATGCCACGATAATTCTATTTTAAGTTAGAGGAAGCCACTCTTGGGTAAGCAGCGCTTGGCGTTATTATAAAGTCTGGTCTGAGGACGAGACAATATAAGCTGAAATTTGAAGTTTTCGGAAAAAAGGGCTATCTGAGTGCCACAAAATATACAAAATATCCGGGTTTCAAGATATTATTCCACATCTGAGCTGTTGAATCAGGAAGGTATTTCGCGAATCTGTTTTGGAACTGGTAATTATAGACAAAGTAGGTCTGATGAGGTCGCGTGTAGTCGTGTGAGGTGGCAAGAAAAACCAGGTGCTAAATCGCCACGCATATGACTTTGTATGGCTCGCAGGATCAGAATTCAATCGACCAGCTCACTCTCGAATCTATTTTCTTAGAATTATAAAAATTCGTCTTCAATCGATGTTCTGGACTGGAAATGGTAAAAGAAAGTCTGTTGCGTAGCCCCAGAGAGCCCTAGGTATTCAAGAAGTCCATCGGTAGAAGCAATCGATCTCGAAGAAGGATTACCCTAGCGAGTACCAGAAAACAGCTGATAGCTGACCGAGCCCAAGCTTGACCTCCTCCATCTGTAGCGAAGCAATTATTTCAATTTCAATTTTCAGACGATGAACGACATCTCAAACTGGTTCACGAGGACGTATCAGACGCTTGCAGCAACCTTCTCAAACTGATCAAACTGTATTACTAATTATGATCTGTAAATACCAATTGTAACTATGCATTGTGATTGCTAGTATGTGGTCTTACGGTAGCCATGCGTCCTATATAGCCACAGATATTTAATCAATAAACCAGTGAAGGCATATTGAAGGCTACTGATATATAGTGTTGATTATGTATGTGTACAGATTGTATTAAAATCGTGCGGAAACCGTGTCACTCAAGAGGAATTTCACAGGGGAAGAATTTCTTGATACTAGAGAGCTCAAATGATCTGGTTATTACTGAGAATAGTATTATACAGTTCCTTATGCAGTAGAGTTATGCAGAATTCGGATTGTCAGTAAAAGCCATCACAAATTATCACGCGGTGAGGTAAAAGCGAATCGTCTTATTTGAGTCGATCGTAATTCGAAAGGTAAGATTGGCTCACAAAATTTCAACCCTTACTGTTGGGAACAGTAAGCCAAGAGCTCCACTGTTCAGTACTGCTTCAATCCCGTACTTTCAAGATTTTGTATGGAATCACAGAGCTCCAGTACAGCTAGCTATTACTTTTTGATGAGAGACAAGGGATTCGGAGTCAGCTAAGCCAAATACAGAGAAGGCGGCGTTAGAAAATGCTATAAAAAAGAGCAGGCGATGGACTTTACTAAATGAAAAGGAAAATGTAAGTTGTCATTACTGGTAAAATATGTAGTTAATTTAGTGAGAGGACTAGGCTTTTTTGAGAAAGCCTCACAATCAGACACACAAGAAGTGCCAGTGTGATTTCGTTTTCCTGTTCATAACCACAGCGAGTTGCCTCCTCCACCTCCATATGTACCTCGATCAACCTTGACTCTTATTCATTTTCCTTACCCTTTCTTGTTCAGTCACAGCTCCGCTTTCGCTGACCAAGAAGCAGGGCTACCTCATGTGCAGGCCGGAAATCGAATCCATGTTCAAGACCTAGCTGAGCCAAAAAGAATTCCCTATCTTTCTGGGTCGATTAATTCGTGATATTTGAAAGCTATTCTGCGAGTATTGTATCAGGTTGATGCATATATATTGCAAGTTTTTTTCAACAAATTTTACTCGAAAAAACGATAAAAACGTTCAACAAAAATGTGTTCAATTAATTACTCCTTAAGGTGTCCATCACCTACGTTAAGCACTGCTTCGGATTTGCTAGGTAGTCACTTTGTTAAGAGGAAGAGTTTTCGATTCTTGGAGGCGAACCACGCCTTGACATTACCTGTGAACCCAATCATTTAGTCGTAAGTTCTGCTCGATAGCTAATCTTTCACCGAATGGTTGACGTAATAATCCCTAGGAAATTCTGTCGGTGAATGTGGCGGATTTAAGAGCAAATCGCATTCGTTACTTGTCTTCGGCTGACTGTTCCATCGCCGAAAAGTTGTTGAGATTGCAAAATGGCTCTGCCACATTCCACCCTTTCCCGAAGTAATAGGGCATAATGTGGCAAATATGAAGATGACTTTCTAGATATACATTTGTCGAAGAAAGCGAGAAGATTATTCCTATCAAATCCTCGATTCAATCTTAAAATTGTGTCGATAGAAAAGAAGCCGCGAAAGAATCCGCAATAATTATGCATCAACCGAGTAGATTGAACCCGCATTCTAATGCCTGCAGGATTCCCACTTGAAATTGGGGGATTGGAATCGTTTCAACATTGAAGAGCCCGATTTTTCGCGAAAGCCATTTTTTTGCAATTAATCACAGTATAATCACAACTGTATTAATTATTATTACTGTTATGGCTATTGCCAGTCGGATCGCCCGGCTAACGCCGGGCTCTCCTCCTTCTTGTGTTTTGGTTGATCCGTCTTCTGCACTCTCTCAAGTTTGAAATTTCTGGTCCAATAGAACAGGAATTATTGATTTTTCAGCGAATGACATACACCGACACACTTCGTGCGTTGGGTTCACTTCCTCTTATTCGAACTGCACTCAAAGTACAGTCATTCCATCACGCTTCATACATATCCCTCCCCTATGCCTTCGCCGACTGGATCAGGTTTAATACCGCCTGCACTTGTTGCAAATTTGAACGCCTCAGATCAAAATTAGCAATTTTCGCTTTTGCTCCGCTTCCTATTAGTAGAGTCGAGACTTACCACCTACCAAAAGTGTCTTTACCCTTCCGTCTGTACTCCTACCAAATTTGAACGCTCTAGGTGCATGGGGGGAGTAGTTATAAATTTTTGCTCAAATTCCGCCCATCGTGGGCGGGGTTTGAGCGAAGATTTATAACTACTGTACCCATGCACCTAAAGCGTTGCCACCAACCATAAATGATCTCATCCTGCCGCATGTTCTCCTACCAAATTTGAACGCTTTCGGTCTACGGGGACAGGACTTATAAATTTCCGGTCAGACACATACACACACATATACACACAAACACACCAACAGACACACCTATCCGACTATATAAGTAGGAATGCGCCGGCTCCCCCTTCACTGAGGTTTCTCTTTATCTGAAAGATCTTTAGCCGGTTGGTGGCGGGGCTATGTGGTACGACTCCAAGTAGCGAACAGGGGAATAAGGTCAAAACCCACTAGTACTTGCTCGGGCGCAGGTAGATTTAGAGGAGTTCCTGTTCCTTCAGTGCTGTGTCGATTTCTACATTTCTGAAAGTTTGAAATATAACTACAGCTCAAGTTACTGTTGTCAAAAATACTGTCACAGGACTCTTCAGCGAATCATTCCATCAACGCACAACAAAAAAAATACAGCAGCCCCTTTCATAACCCTTTTACTAATGCCCATTATTTTTCTCTAAAAGGGGAGTTACCGGATGTGACATGCATAGCATTGCTTGTTTCCTAAAAACATTAGTTAATTTACTTGTTGTAATGAAAAAAGCCTTATCACAGTCATATCTATCATGGGTGAAATGGTTTACTTTTTTGTTATTGATAAGAGTTGTTATAAAAGCGCCTGATTATAGGGTCAGGTTCATCGTCTTTCAAGCTACTTACGAACAAGTTCAACGAAGAGCTCCGAGAGTTCCTTGACCCGAGGTACGCCTACAAGTAATCCTTGTCTGGTGCGTTTCCAACTTTTGCAGGGCAGGCTTCCAGCAATCTACGCTGTAGTGTTCTACTATCCACTAATGCTACAGCATTTACAGGATGGAGAATCGACAGCTTGACGTTTTTTAACGTCAATTTCTTCGTCCTTCCGACGCAAGGATGCGCGAGTTTCCGCGAGCCCTCTAGCGTAGCACGTTCAGTGAACAGTCCAACAATGCCTCATAAACAGGGTCCGGAAATCTTCGCGTTTCTGGATACCATCAGGGGAATCGCTGAGCAAGATGCTTTTCTTCCTTTCTTCATTGACCTATCCAACCTGAGGGCTAGAGTGCAGAAGAGAGGTAGCCGACCTGACCTGTACTTAGAAACGGTTCTAGGCGAAAAAATATGGTTTCAAGCTAAGCCTCAGTAGGAAAGGAGCGTCAGGGTAGGGGTGGGACTCGTGCAAAAAGCTAGGAAGGGGTATGAGTTGAATATTCAACTGACTCACCCCACCTGAAATAGTGTTGAAAAAAGCGGAGGTCTCCCAACTACATCATCACCTTCGAATATTGTAAACCCATACGTAGCACGATGCCGGTACAGATCGAAATCACAATTTTGAGGTACCTACTCCACTTCACATCACGCACTTCACACCGCAGTACTCACTCTATCAACCTACCGACCAAGTTACTGCCTTTTAGAAGTGTAGAAGAGAGCAAGGGTCTCTATATCACTCTCTTTATCGTTACCATAAGTTTCGCTGACTTAAAAACCGACAAACCGACACACCAAGTTTCTGCTTTATTAATGAGAGAGATAATAAGAAATTAAGACGCGGTTACTGTTGATCCGTGGTATCGGCTAGCATTTTATCAGAAACGAAAAAGAGGATGTGTACCGACCAACTGTGCGCTCTTGCGCGGCTTATCCAAGGGGATATAGTTTTTTAAATCAAGCCTCAGAATGTTAAGGCACCTGGGAGGGTGAGATTATTACCGCGTGCGAAAAGGCTGAAAAGTCACCCTGGTGCTCATACCCTGTTAGGGCTCAATTAAAAAATTGCATTCACTGTTGACAGCAGTTATCGCGGTTTGGGCCATATAGTTATGTTTCTGCGTTTTTATTACGCTTGTTGAGTCAGACGTGGAAATAGCAAACCATCTGGTCTAATCATAAGAAAAGGCTACACATTTATTTTGTGGCTGAAATACAACAACTACCTTTTCGGGTGTGCTCGACTGGAATAAACGACTGATAGTTTACATAATAGGTTCACTTTGGAAAATGAAAATGTAGAGTCGAAATGCTCTGCAGAGACAATGAAACTTAAAATGTTGCCTACTCTGTTTGTCGTTGTATGGAAGCAGTAATATCAATGAAGTAAACAAGCGCACCCAGTGNGTGGATCGGTTGATGTCTTGTTACGCAAGTCGGCGGATTAGGAATGTTCATTTCAAAGCATTGGCATAGAAAGGGCTACGTGTGTCTAGTCGATATCTTGATGTTATATCATTGAACGATAAATACACATGATGATCACAGAGTAGTTATACAAGCGGCATTCGTACGTAAAAGGAATTCATATCAAGCTTTGGGCATTGAGGACCTCGCCCGCCGTTCAGTGTGGCTCCCGCCAGAGATTTTTTTGTCGTGTTAGCTTGAGAACTTCCCCCTAAAAGGTTGTGTCATATGGTGCGGAGGTGTGACAGTGTTTCACAGTGTACCAGGTAGTTGAAGCGCATCCATACTTACACCTCCCCCATTAACACAAATCTGCCGCGGACTCAGAGAGTTCAAGAGTAAGACTCGCTGTAGCGAGACATTACTCGCGAAAATATATCTCCAGGTTGGAAGACGGTTCCACAGCACATTGACGCTGCCCATTTGAGGATGCGTAGCCAGAGGACGCCAGAGAGGTGGCGTGGCCGAGTATCATTTGGCCGTGGCGGTAGCGTGAAATCGCCATTGTCACTCTCTTATATTCGTCGAGGCTAACCGCTGAATCAACAAAAATTGTCTTGGTAGTTATAAGTGTAACTGTCTCTTCTTCACGTCTTTGAACCGAGCCCTTCCGAGTAGGAGGAGGCTCGATGAACCGGACACATGTGCGGTCTTCGGCCATGTTGAAATGTTATTTGCTGGATGCATTCGAGGACAGACCCTCGATATCGAGGAAAAGGAAAGACATTTCCGAAGTTGGGAGGCGCGCAATGGACAGTAAAAGATGCCGTTGAGCGGGTACGGTGCCATTTAGAAGGAGCCGTTGTAGGCCACCGGAATGGGGGGAGCGTTCACCGCTGAATGAACAATGAAGCTCGGCACCTGTGCGGATACTGGGACGGCTACATCTTCGACGAGAACGCTCATGACGCTGCGAATGATGAAGCGAGCTGGTTTTGGAGGTAGGCGACATCGTGCGTGTGGCTCGAGCCGATGAATGTCGTCCATGAACCGTGTTTCGCCCTGAGATGATTTTGTGGCTGGCTATATAGCCGCTAAGGCAGTTTGGGAAATCTGAGAAGCCTCGTCTCCTGTTGCAGTGCGGAATGAACTAAAGTGACTGCGAAAAAGACTGTTCACTGGATCTGTCGTGTTCAGGAACGTTGCGGTGTTGAGGTAGATGAGGCGCCGGACCTGGACCATGAGTCTAATCATCCTTTCTATGGACTGCGAGACAGAAGGTTCCGCAGTCACGCACTAGTGCTGGCCCTTTTCGGACATATGCAAGCAGTAGGGTCAGCTAGATGTTGTTCTAAGAGCTGGCGCTTCTCCTCGAACCCAAACCGGAGGGAAGATTGCGATCGGCGGGGTCGAGCTGACATACTCGTCGTAGAGCGATTCAAGGTTAAATGTTCAGGTCTATCTCCGTGGTGTGGAGGTTGTCAGACGCTGCACTGTCCGGCAAGTAACGTACCACCCGCAAATGAGCCAAGTCATCGAGGTGCAATAATGTCTCTATGAACTGGACAACAGTGATTGCTGTCACGACCACTATAGATGGTGGTCGCAAGGCGACATGCGCCGCTATGATGGCTTCCACTGAAGCTAACCTGCGTAGAACGCCGTTTGTATCGCTAGAATGGGTTTGTGCGAACGGCGAGCCGCTTCGACCAAGCCGTTAGTTAAAACTATAGTTATGCCACCTATTCAAAACGAAGGGCTTCTACGATGGGGTCGTAAGCTTTTGCCAGAACTATTAGACTTTCGTCTCCGTAGACCGAGTTCGCTATTCTGCTGGAGAGATGGCGAGAGATGGGGTTCAAATCCGCGGAAGTCTTCATGTGCACCATGACTCGGAAATGGAGTAGACGCGATCAGTTCGCCTACCAAGACGCAGTCAAACCGTCGCCAAACTAGAGTGGCGGCTATACCTATGGGCGGCGTCATTAATATTGTGGTGAGAAAATACGAAAGCTTTCATTGTGACATTTGGGGGTTGGGTGGAAGTTCGACGCGAGTCTCCTTCGCTCGGACTATACTATTTGAACCAAGGAAGTGCCAGTGATCGTTATACGCACTAGCTTGCTTCAGATATCA